ATATGTGGTCATTATAATTTATAATTGGCTATTATGATTTATGGTAAAATTGGTAACAATACAACTAAAATTAAATGTATAATAAAATATGTTTTACCTCTAATTTATTGTTTCAATATGAATTTAATGAAATACAATGTATCGAATAAACTCTAAAATGCATGATATACCTACTTACAAATCATTTGATACGAAACGGACAAACGGGAAGCAGGTGTATCCAACATTTTATCAGAAGCCCTACACCCAAACAATATTAATAATTTGATAACATTTATAATAATTAAGTCCAAGCTTATAAATTGTATATAACCTGTAAATAATTGTATATATATTATGTAACCTATTGTAAACCAACGCCAATGGCCTTTGACGCCGAGGCTTAATATAAAAAAAAAAAAATCATTTGATATTGCATCACGTATTTTACATAACTCATAAATAATATTAGAGTGATCTATGAAATAAATTTACTAAACACGCAAGTTTTTTTCATTTGATGGTACCAAAATAACATGTATTTAACAAACAGGTTTTATATTTTTGGTCAAAGTGCCAGTTTAAGTAAACAAAATAAATAAACAATTATTACGATCGATTGTAAAAAGTAATTTATTTTTGTTTTTATAATTTTTATTAGGCACTATTAAATTGGATYCCAATCTTGGGTAAATTTGAAGTAGACCCTTAAATTGGCTCCTGAAAAATTTAAATTTGAATTGGCTCCCAAAACTGTAAAATATTATTATTTAACTTCGGGTTCTCATATTATACGCGTTTACTTTTAGAACTTCAACCTAACCTAGCCTAGCAGTTTGCACTCAAATATAGTCTAACGCTGGATATATCTATATTCTATACTACTATATATACATAAGTATTGATCTTTTATATTATATGATCTATATATTAGCCAATAAGTATAGACCTCAAAAAATAGTTTAATATAATATTTTTATTTAACTTATTAATGAAAAATAAAAAAGAAGAACAGAGTTTATATTATCTGTCTTTCAATTTTTTGCTATAATATATGTACATATTATGT